TTTAAACTTAAAAAAGTGGTCGTTTTCCTTAAAATCTTTACATGTCTGCTGCTATCTAGACCTTTTGATATATAAATTTACTTTTTGCACCGTGTCTTGAGTTGGGAATATTTGTTCCAAATGTTGGCTATGGTGTTTCGCGAGCAATGCATGGAATGGTATTTCTGTCGGCAAGTTGGCATTAAGTTCCCATCGGGTACATATCCATTGCTTAAAACCTTCGCTGTCGTCGATATCGTTCAACACTACCTTGTTTTCTAAGCTAGAGCGGCATTACAAGTGCAGGTAAACTTCATGGACCTTATCCGCCTTGATTTTCCATTGGCTCTGTCATGGTGTGTATCAGCAAGTTCTCTTGGGGCTTCAGGCAGACTGCTCTTCTTCGAAAAAAATCTTTTTGGTCCTAGGGATCGGGAGAAGACATCTTTGGGGAAATAAAAGTGCGATTGTGAAACGAAGGAGCTAACGCTTAGCAAGAAAATGAAGAAATGAAACAACGCAGAAATGAATGCATACATAAATGACAAAGTAATTTATGAATAACTGATAATCTTAATCAAGAGATTATCAAGGTAAGAGAGTGAATCCCCCATAGAGACCCTCTACGGTGGCTTAACACAGTTTTTGATACCTGTGTTTCGCTCACCTTTTTCTTTAAAACCCTTGATCCTTTGGTCGCCAACGACGACAACGTTTACGCTCAAGTTAATAAGACAAACTTCGTTTTTATAGTTAAACCCACGTATGTGCCGTTACCATGGCGAGATGATTAAATGTAAACAGGCCTTTAAAATCGCTTTTGTTTATTTACAGAAAATCTAGGAATTAGATTTTCTTTATCATTTGCATGCAGCAAGCTTGTAACGATGCTCACAAGTTAACACTATTTGAATAATAGTTTAACAGAGAGATCCATTCAATTATCCCTTGTAGATGGTTGACTGGAATATCTAGAATTTTCTTTGTTAAATTTCAATTTTTCTCAAGACTCCAATTTCTTATTTCTTAGAGAATTTTCGTTCCAAATTTCGTGAAATTCTAATGAGTGGTTCTCGAGAAATAGACGTATCTCCGAGAAAGCCATTCCGCATTGAATCGCAATTTTTTGACTTACTACGCATGCGCTGTATTTAACCGGGTTCTTTTGGTAACAAGGAAAAATCTGAGAATTGCTGGGTTCTTTGCATTGTTACCTTTTCTAACATACCTTTCTAATAAAAGATTAAAACCATAAATGAATTGTATTCAATTATGAAGGAAAATAGCACAGATAGCGTGGGCATTGTGCAAATAAAAAAATCGCTGTATCGACGACATGTTTATTTTCTGTAATCCTTGTGCGCGCTGAATCACATTAGCGAGAGCGCGCGCGAAAACTGTGTTCGGCCACCTTGGTTATTTTTAGAAATGGCACGTGGATGTTATTCGCGCGATACGTGGTTGTTCTCGTGGAGACGACAGGAAAACAACAAAAGCGGACCGTGCGTCCTCGATAGTTTCAAACGCACAGTCGAATAACAGTAGGAAAAAGAGCCCAAATTCGTTATGTGGAGGTAGTTCTAGCGAGTACGACGAATTTTCCAAAGGTGAGAATTTGTGAGGTTTCGTCCGATTATAATTTAAAGACAGCCCACGCTAAAGTTTACCTTGAGGCCGGCAGAAATTCAATTCTTGTTTTGCTTGTCGTTAAATCTACTGGCCAAAGAAATTCCCCGACAGGATCACCGCTTGGGATTGTCGCTTGCGCAGCAAAACCTGCTTACAAAGGACACAAGAATGTTAGCTATGAAGATGGACGACAAAAGTTTGCTTCCTTTGGAGTTCAAAGAACATCTCGATGATTGAGGATTATACTTTTGAAAGAAGATTTTACATACTTAGTGCAATTTGCTGATAACTGCACTCGACGATTGACCACCGAAGAAACATTTCGAAGAAATCCTTTTTCATCTCTAAAATGCATCTTTTCAAGCGTGAATGGAAACAGTGATATTTTCTCTCTGTTAGCATCTGCCCTTTAACTGCTGGTTTTTTGTTTTGTTTTTGTTTTTATCCATTTATATGCTCACTGTTGGTATCACCACCAAATCTGCCAAGGTTATAACAGTCTATTAGGAGTTAAAAGTAGTGGTTTCAGGTACTCCTTGGAATATTCTGATATCCAGCGACTGTTCGTACAGCACTCCTAGTGAGTGTTGATTT